CCACTTTTTGTGGATATGTGGGGCTTCATTTAAAAAAAAAATAAATAATCCCACCACCAAAATAAGGATAGAACATGTAGTAAAAATAGTAGAGTGATTGAAAGGTTTAAAATAACTTGCATGAAAACAAATTTTAAAAAGCAATCATCCTCTGACATACATGATCTATGCACATTTTTTTCATGCTGTTGGATCATACTTTGATTACCTTTGCAACTGGTCTTGAAATAAACTAGATAAATGTAATACAGCTGGGACTGGGTAAAGTGGCTACTTCAAGTTACCTGTGTGGCCTTAAGTCGTCTTTGTAGAAGCTGAGGATTGTTATGGACAACAACAGGCTTGGCCAAACCCTAGAAATACTTCAGACTTGGGACAGGGGAAGAATCTACTCTGTACCATGAGTAGAGAGGTATAAGCATAATTGTACAATCAAATTGTACAAATTGTACAAAAAAAATTTCAGTGAGGAGAATTGAGGCAGTTAATTTTATTTTTTTTTTTAAACAAATACTTCAGCAGAAATACCTCCCTCAGTCTTCAGAATACTGTAATAAGTAATTAGGCAAGAAGCTTGCTTGCAGAAATCCGTTTGTGTAGTTTCTATTCATTTTAGAAGCAGGCTTTGAAAGTAATCTTGTAGGAAAATAACAGAGAAGAAAAAGGTGTGAGAATAACAGAAAATTCTTTTAAATAAACTCAGGGATCTGATATTGTATACAACACATTATGAATGACTTTCTTGGGAACAAGCAAAAGCAAATAAGAACTTGATTTTTCCCCTGAAATGTTGCCATTTGCCTCATTTGCTCACATGCTGTGTCCGGGAAGCAGATTAAAAGAGCATCAGTAGAACCTTTTCTGTTCATTGACCCCAGAGCATATATCCAGATTTTGAGGATTAAAAATATTCATTGTGTGTTTAGTCAAGCCCAAAAAACATACAACATAAAAGGCAGTCCATAAAGCTGAACTCCCAAATCTAACATGTGCCTCAGGATGTACAGTGGGAAAGGCCTCACACACCTTGAAGGCAGAGTTTAAGAGAGAACAAAGAGATTCTTTTAATTCTAGTAAAAAAAGTGATCAGTCCTCATAAAAACTCTACTGTGCTTCTATGCTTGTATAAAACAATGGTAGGAATGGGGTCAAATGATTTAGCATGTTGGTTTCTATTGCATTGTCTCGCCTCTTTTTTCTCCATCCGTATGTTCATCCCCCACATGTTTTTCCATGCTCCTGCTAGAATTTAAACTCATGTTCTAAATATGGGTGGAGCCAACTTCTTGATTTGACACTGTCATGCATGAGATCCTTATCTCTAAGATGGAGAGACATGGACTCGATGGATGAGCCACTCGGTGGATAAGGAACTGGCTAGAAGTTTGCACTCAAAGAGTTGTGATCAATGGCTTGAAGTCCAGATGGAGACCAGTGACAAGTGAAGCTCCTCAGGAGTCTGTTCTGGGTCCGCGCTGTTTAACGTTTTTGTCAGCAATTTGACATTGACGGTGGCATTAAGTGCACCCTCAGCAAGTCTGCTGATGACACGAAGCTGTGTGGTGCGGTGGACTCACTTGAGGGAAGGGAGGCCATCCACAGGGACCTTGACAAGCTGGAGAAATAGGCCAATGCAAACTGCGTGGGGTTCAACAAGTCAAAGTGCAAGGTCCTGCACCTGGGTCAGACCAATCTGGGGCACAATTACAAGCTGGCTACAGAGCTGGTTGAAAGCAGCCCTGAAGAGGACTTCGGGACGTGGACTGACAAGAAGCTCAACATGAGCTGGCAGTGTGCTCATGCAGCCTGGAGAGTAGCCAGCAGGTCAAGAGAGGTGATTCCAGTTCTGGTGTCTCCACCATAAAAGGGACATGGATCTGTTGGAACAAGTACAGAGGAAGGCCACAAAGATGATCCAGGGGCTGGAGCATCTCTGCTATGAGGATAGGCTGAGGGCACTGGGATTGTTCAGCCTGGAGAAAAAGACTTCAGGGGGACCTTATAACTGCCTTCCAGTATCTGAAGGGAACCTGCAGGAAGGCTGGAGAGGGACTTTCACAAGAGTGTCCAGCGACAGGACAAGGGGAAATGGTTTTAAGCTGAAGGAGAGTAGGTTTAGACTAGATTTGAGGAAGAAATCCTTCAGTATGGAGGTGGCAAGACTCTGGAACAGATTGCCCAGAGAGGTTGTGGATGCCCCCTCCCTGGAGGTGTTCAAGGCCAGGTTGGATGAGGCCTTGAGCAACCTAGTCTAGTTGAGAGGTGGCCCTGCCCGTAGCAGGGAGGTTGCCTTAGATGATCTCTAGGGTCTCTTCCAACCTAAGCCATTCTGTGATTCTATGATTCTATGATTTTGGACCATGCATAGCACACAGAAGTCTTGGTCTCAGCTGCTTTTGGTATGCAAATAGTAAATTAAAATGACTTTTTTTAGGCTTTTGAGTCAGTGAATCTCTATTTTCAGTGAAAAATTTTACAGATTTCTAGGAGCAGAAGTGGAAGCTGTAGTGTACCCCTTAGTGCTTTCAGCAAGACATTTTGATTACTTTTGGACACAGTGATAAAACGAACCTAGCAAGTACCCACAATGTCACAGGACTAAATTATTACATGTACTTCAGAAGCTGTCAGGGTTGTGGTGCAGGTGGTTTAAAGTGCCTCATAATTACTGGCTTTTAAAATTACAACTCAATTTGGAACTGTTTTTTTAAGAATGTCATACCCAGAAAGCTCAGCTTCCCAGCAGAAGTGCCATTCCTCCCTTGGGCCACACCACTCATACACGGCTTCGTAAGCCCCTTTTCTTTGCCTTGTCAGCTTCCCACCCAGAAGTTCCTTTCCTTGATCCTTAGCTAGCCCTACAGTCCCAAAACACATTGAGTTAGACTAGCAGCATACCCTCAGAAGTAGCATAACAAACCAGAAAGCTGCAATGCGTTTAGGTAATGAAAGCAGGTGAAAACTAATTAGAAGAAAGTTTTGACTACAGATCAATGAGCAACACAAAGGGCATGGTAAGAATTAGTGGCCTCTTTAGTATCAGTTTATTACATAACATATTTTAATGTTGTAAGATAGCCTACAGCTCCCACAGACAACTTTAAAATCACAGGCCATTTGCTCAGTTGATGTAAACTGGTAGAACACTATTAAAGCCAAAGTAGATGTCCAGATTAGTATGAGTTGAAGGTAGTACATTACTTACACAGCTACCATAAGAATCTTGCAGTGTGGAAATACAGAATATTCTTATCAGTATTTAGTATAACGTCTCTCTCACCATTTTGCTTATTGCCTATGCTATGGTCACTGTGATACTATGCATTGTCCAAGAAAGCTATTTTGGTCACTACTGTAGGTCCTTGTAGTTCTCTGTGAAGGTCATTTTTTAGTGGACTTACAGGCAAGCTCATTAAAAATAAAATTTATGAGCTGAAAGACAGTGAAATGAAACAGCTGTTAAAGTGATACTTCAGTTGTCAGCTCAACCTCTATTCGGCTGTGCTACATGGCTGCATAGTAGAAAAATTACTGAAATGTTTAACTGGACTTTGACTCAGGGTCCAACTGCCTTTGTACCTCAATTTATCAGAAAGTATAATAAAAATGACTCTTTACAAAGTTAGAGCTCCTAGGCCTCTGACAATGGAGTGCAAATTTATTATTGCATAATAATTACTTCAAATTTAATAGCTTAAACATGGTTTAAAGGGACAGAAAACAATGAACCCTCAAGAAATCTATAAAAGACTGAAAAGAATGATTAATTTGAAGAGTAACTACAATGTCATCCTTTTTTCATTAGTTTTTAAGATGATGTTGGATTCATGGCTAGGTATTAATAATGATATAATTAATACCTTTTATCATAGTGGGTACTACAATAACCTGAATTAGGAAGCCTATCGAAATGAAGAAAGACAGTTTGAAATAAAAATATATCTTAAAATCACTCGTAATCTGCAAACCACTTTACTTTGCACCTCCACAACTCAGCACTAATATATTTCAAAATACTTTTCATAATGCTCATAAGACGCAGAACAGGAAGGAATGTTCACATCACCTGCAATAGCCACTTGAATGACACAACCATATTAGAAATCTAAAAGCTCTTGAGATTGTTAGTTCCTCTGGAGAACAACCCAGAATACCTGAAATCTTATTCTTGTTTTCAAGAATATTATTTCATCCATTTTTTAAAAGAAAGA